TCGCAGGCAGCTCTCCCCACCCCGGGTCCCCATCCGTGGGGACCTACGGGCTAGCAGCCCTGGGGCACCACGGCAGCCTGGGGTGGGTGGCGACGGGCAGGACACGGACCCGGCAGCCCCCTAGCCCTCTGTACCCCTTCGTCAGGGCAGCCGCAGAGGGACGCTCCCCGCGCGTCCCGCACCCCCTGGCGAGGGCTGTGCCCTGGGGAGACCCACGCGGCCCTTTTGGGAAATGTGGCAGCTGCGTTCCAAGGCCAGGGAGCACGGGGACATAAATCAGGGCAGGTGGCGCAGGGCAGGGGACGAGTTGAGCCATGTGGGAAGCTGCGCGGGCCGGGAGCCTTGCAGGCATTTCCTTGGCTAATCAACACAAGTTCCTAGAATGTGTTTGGGAACAGGCTGCAGGGCAAGGCGATGTCTACCCTGACACAGCACAACGGGCACCAAGTGCTGCCTGGTCACTGGAGCCTGGAGATGCTCCTACTTGACTCATCTTCATTTTGATTCCCAGCTCTGACTAACTTTGGACTGAAAACTCTAGCGTACCCCGGGTGTCCTGCTTGGATATGACCCTGCGCAGAGCTGCTCCTGCTGTGCAGGGACAGCCGCTGGCCTCAGCCCTGGCCCCAAAGGCTCATGGCAATGACAGCCCCACCGGAGCAGCACCTCATCCCAGTGATGCGAGGACTTGCCAACAGGTCCACAGATAAGTCCATGGCTTCATCCTCCTCCCCAGCGGCAGCACCAGGTCTGCGGCAGGCTCAGAGCCACCTCTGCTCCCAGACAGGGCATGGATGCTGGAAACTATCACATTAAAAGCATTTGAGGTGCTGGAAGGGTAAGGTTTGGTGCCAGTCAAATAAATGCTTTTCCGGAAAAAAAAAAAAAAAAACAAGCAGGCTAGGAGCGATGGGGCTTTTCCCATCTGCAGCAGCTCACAGTGAAAGCTGCTGACCCAAGGACATTCCCAGCAGGAAGACTGACAGCACTGGTGTTTTGGAGTTTGCTGTTATCCTCAAGTAGTTTTGGGGATCCATTTAGGGCCTTGAGTGTCTTTCTTGGTGTGTTTGTTGATCCAGGCATATTATTGGCCTTACATTGAGCCCATAGCTGGAAGGCGGCAGTGGGAGACCCGGTTATCAGCGCTGATTGGAAGAGCTATTTTTTTTGACTGAGTAAACCTTTGATTTTGCTGAAAATGGCCATATGGAGCCCAAGGCCTTGTGCGCTTGTTGGCTGGGTGACAGCTTGGCAAAGGGAGTTCATCCTACCCCATAAATGCAGGTGCAGCTCGGCCTTCCTCAGCCAGAGAGGCAGAGGTACGACACCAAAGGCACGCTGAGACACCAAAGGTAGGTCAAGACACCAAAGGTAGGTCATTCTCCCCTTTCCCTTGTAGCCCTGGGATCTCATTTCTGCAAGATCGTTCCCTGGAGCTCAAGTTATTCTCACTGAGAACCCCCCCGCCAGAGCAGAGCCTTGTAGGTCCACTGTAGGTGGACCTACATCATGATTCAATTAAGTGAAGCATTTTCTTTGTATGTGTGGTTTGAACAGTATCAAAGTGAGGAGATAGGCAAGTTAGTGGGGAAAATAGGTTGTTTTCATTTGACCAGCTGCTCCACCTGGAAAAAAACAGACAAGCCAGCAGGCAACAAGCCCTTCCCTCAGTCATCCTTCAAAAGCTGCTTTATTTTCCAGTCCTATCGGTTGTTCTTATATTTCAAGCGCTTTGTGGGCAGCGGCACTCTGTGTGTATCGGAGCGGCCGTCGGCGTGTGGCTCGTTCAGCTGCAGCCGGGCTCGGACGCGGCCCCATCCCAAACCTCTGCCCCGTCCTGGCCCCACACACCCCGGGGAGCTTGGTGCCTGGGACACAGGTGCTTGGGACAGTGCTGGGACAGTGTTCAAAACCAATAATCTGAGAAGGATTTGGTGAAATATTATCCTGGGGAACTCAGCACCAGGAAAAACGCTCCTTTGATGCATTTTCACGTGGGCAAAAGCACCCGAGCTGCATCGTGAGGCTTCCCGTGGGAATCCAGCTTGGGTGAGGCAGGGATAGTGCTGGGAGGGCAGGATATGTCCCCTGTGCCTCTCGCCCCAGTGGCACTGCAGGAGGACCCTCATCAGGGCCAGATAAGGATGCCCCCAGCAGGGAAGGTGCTGAGGGGCACTCGGGATGCCAACAGGCACAGGGCATGGCAGCTGCTGGGTTTTGTGGGTCTCTGCCCCAGGGGATGGGGGGACAGGCAGGAGATGAGAGCTGCTGGGGAGTCACAGGGGAAGACCCTGCCGTAGCGGCTGTTCCCATCGTGTAGGCGTTGGGATGGGGGCAGATCAGTGACTGTTCACACCTTGGCGAATGGAAGCTGGAAAGGGGAGGCTGGGCAGCTGCAAGCTGTTAAGGGACAGATCTTTCCCACAAACACTGCCACACACCAGGCACTGCAATTCTGGGACTGAAAAAAAAAAAAAAAAAACAGCACATGGAAAATAACATGGAACAGTGTTCATGTGTGACCCTCAGAGAGAACTTCCATGGCAGAGCTCTGTTTGGGACCAAATCCTGCCCCAGTCACATCTTGGGTGACAGTGGGTTCACACCTGAGCAGAGCTGATCCCTCCACTCCAGGGTCCTCCACTGAGGAGGAGGAGGGAGAGCTGTGAAGCTGGGCTGACCCAGCCTCCCAAGGGCACCACAGTATTCCAGCTTTCCAGCACTGAGGAGCTGATTTTGGCTACTGCACATGGCAGAAGGCATCATGTGCAACCAGTACAGCAAGTGGGAATCCCCAAGGCACCTTTATCACCTGTGCCAATTCTCCTGCCATCCCACATAGACTGAGACCATTCCTGCCCCTCTGTACTCAGGATGGGGGCTGCAAAGCCTGTGCTGGTGCTGCTGGCTGCTGCTCTCCTGCTGCACGTGGCTGCCACGCTGAAGATCAGTGCCTTCAACATCAGGACGTTTGGTGACAGCAAGATGTCCAACAAGACTGTCGCAGATATCATTGTTGCTGTGAGTGCTGGTGGAGAGAGTGGCAGTCCTGGCTGCTCTCTGGGAAGCAGCTAGCTCAGGGCACTTGGACACCAGCTTTCTGCTGGCAGTCTGTCCATCCACCTATCCTTGCACCCACCTGGGGTTCATCTACCCACCTATCTAATGGCCCATGCATTGACCCAGCCATCTACCCACCTATCCACCCACCCGACTGTGCATCTGGGCCCCAGTCCACCCACTCACAGCCATCCATGTGCTCATCCATTCACATGTTCACCTGCCCATCCACCCATTCCTGCCCTCCCCACTTGACTGCCCCTCTCCAGCCATAATCCCTGGCTGAGGACAGATAGTTCTTGACTCTGTCTGGGGTCCTCACAAAGAGCAGCCTAGGAATAAGGTGATACTGGGATTATGGGTGGGAAAGGTGGTTACAGGTGGAGCACACACCTTATAAGAAGCAGCTGAGGGCACTGGGGTTATTTAGTCTGGAGAAGAGGAGGCTTGGGCCTTGTTATTTTCTGCAGTTATCTGAAAGGAGATTGCAGTGAGGTGAGAGGCAATCTCTTCTCCAGAATGACTACTGATAGGACAAGAGGAAATGGCCTGAGCTTGTACCAGAGAAGCTTCAGGTTGGATATTAGGAAAAAAATTCTATGTGGAAAGAGTAGTCAAGTACTGCAACAGGCTGTTCAAGGAAGTGGTGGAGTCATGATCCCTGGCAGCGTTCAAGAAACGTGTAGATGAGGTGCTTGCGGATATGGGTGCCTTTGTGAGTAGCTCCTCGCTATGGGTGACTGGTTTTGGGCTTGTCTCCCCAGATTGTGTCGGAGTATGACCTTGTGCTGGTGCAGGAGGTCCGGGATAGCGACCTGAGTGCTGTAAACAAGCTGATGGACCAACTCAACAGGTGACTCTGGTGGGGACTGGTGGTGGGTGTGTTGTGGGTACCTGCAGATAGGGCCCTGTGGCAGAGCCTCAGTAATGTCGTCCTGCACCAGAGCAGTTTTGGTTCAAATGGCAGCTATGTTTGGGGTTGACTTGCTGAGTCATTTGGCCTTGGCCAGAGAGAGCCCTGTTGGAACCAGAGGACATGGTGGGCCTTCCCTTACCTCTCTGTGTCTCGCTCCTAGCGCGTCACCAGATCCATACGACTTTTTGGTCAGCAAGCCCCTAGGTCAGAGCACCTACAAGGAGCAGTATCTCTTCATCTACAGGTAAGGGCTGGCAGGGGGTGAGGGTACTGCCAGCATGTGACACCCCTTGTGTTGGCTGTTGTCACTGCTGGCAACTTCCAAAGGTGATCCCATGTGGGCAGCACCTGTGGGCGTCCCAGCTGCAGTGGCAGTGGTGCCACTCTTCTCCCCCAGGTTGGCCATGGTCTCCGTACTGGAAAGCTACTACTATGACAACATCAGGGCCCGTGTCTTCAGCAGGGAGCCCTTCATCGTGAAGTTCTCCTCACCCCACACACGTAAGCAGAGCTGGCACAGGGATGTGTGCTGGCACCAAGGCCTCATCGTGCGTTTGGGAGCTGTGCTCAGCCTCGGAGTAGACTTGGCTCCCGCACTTGATGCGGCTTTGCCCCTGCCAGCACCAAGCCAAGTCCCTGCTCTGTGCTGGACTGAGTGGGGCTGCTGGAGGCAAAGCTGGCCCACCAGCTCCAGAGCACATTGAGCAACCCTGGATCAGACTCAGCCCCAGCTCGGGGCTCTGCTGGGGCCATTTTGTGGGCCCTTCTCTCACCCACAGTGCCAGGGATCCTGGTACCTTCTCAGTACAGTAGTGCCATCTCCCATTTCATACCTTCTCCCACTGTGTGCCATCTCCCACCATATACCACCTCTCCATGGCAGCTCCTAATGCCATGCTCCCATGTGCCCCATCTTTCCTTCACCCACTCTCTTCTTCCCAAAGTTGTGGGGGCTTCAAAATGAAATGGAAAACAAGAACCGCACTCGCATAGAGGGAAGCAGGTCCCCCTGGCAGGCTCAAAGACAGGCAGGACATGTAAAATGGACACTTCCCCTTTCATGGGGGAGCTTTTCTTGGCTGGCCGCTGGGTTTTGGCCCAAGGTGGCACTGCGGGGAGTTTCTGCTCCCTTCCCAGACCCGGTACGGGGCGCTGGTGGCTTGGGGCTCACAGCCCCTCTCCAGCAGAGCTGCAGGAGTTTGTGCTGGTGCCTCTGCACGCGAACCCCAACAATGCGGTGGCTGAGATTGACGCCCTCTACGATGTCTACATGGACGTTATCAGCAAATGGGCGACCAATGTAAGTGGCTCTGCAGCACGGTGGGGACTGTGGGCTCTCCTCCTGGGACAGTGAGGCCTTAGATGGAGCTGTTGCGCTGGCGGAGCTGGTGCCAGCAGGTATCCGTTTGGGGAGGACAGGGGTGAGCATCGTGGTGGCTCAGCAGCCCTTGCCGTGGGCCGTCTGGGCAGCCCACGAGTGGACCCACCCCAGTGCCACCCCGCAGGACATCCTCTTGTTGGGTGACTTCAACGCCGGCTGCTCCTACGTGCTGCCGTCAGACTGGCCCAGCATCCGCCTGCGCTCCCTCGAGGCCTGCGAGTGGCTCATCCCGGACAGTGCCGACACCACGGTGACACTCACCGCCTGCCCCTATGACCGGTGAGGGGCCGCGGCGCGTGCGGCCGGGTTGGGCACTGCGCGGCACTAATGCCTGTCGGGCCCCGGCAGCATCGTCGCCTGCGGCTCTGCGCTGACCAGCGCCGTCGAGCCCGGCTCTGCCGCCGTCAACAACTTCCAGGAGACTTTCCACCTGAAGCACAAGGATGTGAGTGGGGGACTGGCAGGGAGCTGCTGTCCTCTGTGCGGACACAGACTGCGGGCCCCAAAATGTTGCTCTTGGAGCCGTGATGGTGCCGCCTGGCACGGTCGAGCAAAGGCCTCTCTGCTTCTCCCCTGCATTCAGGCCTTGGCTGTCAGCGACCATTTCCCAGTGGAGGTGACACTTAGAGCCCGTTGATGCTTTCCCCACGTGGACGGCCACCGGCACGGCCTCGGCACACACACATTGCGGATACCCCCATGGCACTGCCTCTGCTTGCTGCCACCATGCCCAGGACGTACCCTGCAGCTGCACGCACAGTGCCCAGGGTGCTCCTGCCACCGCTGTCCTGGGCACCTGGCAACGCTTGACACTTTCTCGATGACCTGCTGCAGGGCGTCTCTCTTGGGCTCGTCCTCCAGTGTCACAGGGTTGTGGGATGACTTTCATTAAAAGAAAAACTTGCTTTCAGGCTATGCAGCCTTGCAGGCTGTGACTTGCTCAGGCTTGACCTGCAAGGGGTCATGGCCACAATGCTAAACACAGCCTGGGGCTTGTGGTTTTAAGCTGCTTTCTCCTTTTCAGGAGCTCCTGGTTAAACATGTCTCTGTAGGAAAAGTCAGGCCTCTCCATCAAGGTGGCACCCTGAGAAACCCATTGCATGCAGGTGCTTGGGGTGGTAGATGCTTGGTGACGTGCAACCTTGGCCAAAGCGTCCCCTGTCCCTGCTGCATCCTTGGCACCTTCAGCATGGCAGGGTAGCAGAGCAACGGGATGCTCCAAAGGGGACATCCCAGAGCTGCCTGCCTTGACTGCTGGCTGGGCAGCACCCACCAAGATGGACAACGGCAGCCCTGGTGGGTGACAAATCTCACGAGTGTGCCACCAAACCGCAGGCTGTGCGTGGCCTGGCTGGCAGGGAGGGATGCTCGGAATGGAGGAAGGGCCTGGACGGCTCCAGCCTGACTCAGCTTCCGAGCCAGGAGCACCAAGTGCGTCCTGGCAGGCCTGGGTGCCCCCCGGCACGGCGGCTGCTGCACCCTGCAGTTTGAGGCTTGTTGCAAGGCGTCTCAGGCAGATGACTAGGGATGTTGCAATTATAGTGGCGGTGCAGAGATCCTGGGGCTGTGTATGAGCTCCACTGAATACACACAAGTCCCTGAGCCCCTACTTTGGCCTCGAGGTGCTGCCATGTCCTGGGCAGCTGCTGGGCAAGGCTTTTCCCGAAAGAAGGGGAAATGTTTCTCCCGCGCAGAAGTGGGCCGTGAGGTGCCCAGCAAGGACTGTGGAAACCAAGAGTTTGGCAATCCTGCAAAAATATGCAAATGCGTCTGAGGATACATGGAGTCATCCTGCGGCGGGCTGTGAGGATACTGAGCCCGGCTACCCGTGCATGAGCCTGACAAGCCCTGGCAAGGGGAGCCATTGCCATGGCTCCAGGGCCACATCCAGCTGAGCACCTCCTGCACTCACCTGCAACGAGCCTCGGTCCTGGTTATTGCTGTGGCCATCTGGTGCTGTGCAAGGTGGGTATTGTGCAAGGCCATCCTGCTGCCCTGCTCACAGGAAGTCTGAGCACCTTGGCTTGGAAGCCCATCAGGTTGTTCTGGATGCCCACCAGGGCTATTTGAAGCCACTGCTGGAGCTGCTTTGTGGGTCTGAGCTGGCTGGTTGTGGGGAGGCTCATCAGTTCACCAAGGGCTCAATCTGCCTGACCTGGATGACATGCCATTTCCTTCCATCCTTATTTCCCTCCTAATTATTCCAGCTACCGAGAAACTCCAAAGAGCTGAATCACCTTCATTAAGGCCATTAGCTTTTGCTGCCTGCCTTGTACCACGTGCCTTGGTGCAGTGTGTGGCCCCAGCCAGCCGTGCCCAGGCTCCATCCACCCGGCTGGCAGTCGTGGTGGCCTCGGGATCAGCCTTGTGGCTTGCAGGACAAACATGTCATGTGTCCGTGGGGGCCAAAGTGCAAAGGCCTGGGCTGAGCAGGCTGGGGCTCTGCTCAGCTGGTGCCTTTATGGGGCTGGTCAGCTGCTGGGCATTGCAGGCTCTATGGGTGGCAGTGCCCCCCATTCGCATCTGCAGCATCTGAAATCCCTCTGCCTGCTCAAGGAGGTGCTTGTGTGGCTGCTTTTGGCTCTTGCTGCCTCCTTCATTCCTTCCATGCGAGTTGGGAGAGTCTCCACACGCAACAACCTCAAGACTCTTCTGGCACTGCTGCAGCCTCCTGCTTGGCCAGGATGCCACAGCCCACTGGGACCACCTTGCCAGCTGGCCTGTCCTCATGCTGGGGAACAGTGTGTGACACCAGCATGCTCCCTATGTCCTTGACCCCGTGCTGGAGGCCGGTTCTCCCCAGCTGTCTCACGATCGCTGCTTTGCCCTTGCCCCCAGCTTGTCCATGGCCCCCGGCTCCTCTGGATGTCCCCAGGGATGCACATGAGCAAGTTTCCTTACAACTCATATTCAGAGGTGGTTATGCTGGCCCCACCCTGCCAAGGTGTGGGTGGTGGTTTCCCAATGTAGGAAGGCACCTGAAGGCTGTGCTGAGACATCCACAGGGGTGTCCAGCTCATCCTGCTTTGCTGACACCTTGGCTGGGAATAAAACAGCCAGAGCAGCCACTGGGAAGGCAGAGCTGCTCTGTGCTCAGCACCAGCCTGCTCGTTCCACACCTCAACACGGTAAGGACGGGGCCGAATGCACATTGTGAATTTTTGGTTGGGGTGTTGGGTTATTGTCAGGGTATTTTCAGTTGTGTTGGAACTAGTGTGTGGCTGGGACAGGGTTATGTCCGTGACACAGATAGTGGCTGCTGGGGAAGTGTCTCTGCCCGTGGACTGATCGAGACACTGGAGGAATGAGGCTTAGCTAATGCTTTCACAACTTTAACATTTCTGCAATGGGGTACAAAGCTGGCGTGGGCAGCCTGGCTTTGGGCACCTTGTTTGGGGAGCAGCAAGTGCAGAGGGGGATCAGGAGTGGGCAGTTTACGGCTATAAAATTGCAGAGGCTGAAGGCTGGGGTTTGCATTGAACAGAGATGGCCCTGTGGGACAAGAGCTGGCAGAGGAGCAAACCTGAGGTCCTGGAGACCTCTGGTCTTGTCGCCAGCGGGACACAGTGTGGCCAGGAGGAGGAGGAGATGGAGGAAGGTTGATCCTCCAGAGCAGTGTTGCCTCCGGCCACACTCCAGAACAGCGTCAGGGACTGAGCTGGCCCAGGCTTATTTCCCTCTGGGACCAGGGACCTGGCAAACAGCCTGGGCCACATCCGCAGGCTTCACCACGCGGCACGGACAGACTCTCCAGCACCGAGAGCATGATGGATCAAGCACTGCCTCAGGCTCAAAGTGGCGGCAGGGAGTCAGGGCTCCTGGGGTCTTTCACAGCTTGGCAGCTGCTTCATTTCATGGCCCCAGACAGGTCCCTTCCTTTCTCCTTTGATGGGACCATGCAAACCCGGGACACCAAGCCCCAGCAGTGGCACAGGCAGCGAGCACTTTGCAAGGACAGGACCTGGGAACAATACTGGGGGCTGCTGGCTCCTGGGTGCTCTGAGCAGACTTTTTGCTCTATCCTCAAGTTGGAAGCGTTTTCCCAAGCCCTGAACAACCTTCTCAGTGGGAATGTGGCTCTTCTCCCCACGTGCCCAAGGCTGGGCGTCCCTCTCAGGTAGGATGGTTACTGTGCTGCCAGCACTGTCCCTGCTGGCTGTGTCCCTTCTGCCACACGCGGCTGCCACGCTGCGGATTGGCGCCTTCAACATCCAGTCATTCGGGGACAGCAAGATGTCGGACCAGACAGTTGCAGACATCATCGTCAATGTGAGTATGACCTGCGACGGGGCACACGTGTGGTGGGGATGGGCTGCACGTACTGGGGTGGAGGGAAGTGCTCGGAGATGCGTAGGGATGAGACAGGTCCCTGGGTGCTGGACCCCCATGCTGGTGTCGGGTTCCCTGGACTGAATAGGGTGACGCGTGGTGGCTCCAAGCCAGTCCCAGGCTGCTCCTCACTGTGCAGTGATTCCTGTCCCTGCAGATCCTCAGTCGCTATGACATTGCCCTGGTGCAGGAGGTGCGGGACTCGGACCTCAGTGCTGTCACTGAGCTCATGGAGCAGCTAAATAGGTACGAGCACGGCTGTGTGATGGGGCTCGGAGGGGTGGCAGCCCTGTCCTCTGGTGTCCCTTGGGGTCCCTTGATGGTGGCTGGAGGTAAAGAACTTGTCCCGGCCAGGACACCAACCCTGTAGGAGGAGCATGAGCTGAGTCCAGGAGGATCAGTGAGAACATGTCAGCAAGCAGCTCAGCTCTCACAAGAGAGCCAGATGCCACCTGGGTTTGCATTGCAGAAGTAGGGAGGAAACACTAAGCTGCTTGAGCAATAATAGCCAAAAAGTTCAGGAGAATAGTTTTTGCTTTTTATTTTTGCTTTCAAAAAAGGGGGATAAGAGTAAAACACTGAAACTAGGTAAAAGAAATGAGAAGGAGCATCCTAAATGCCTGCAGGTAGCCAGGAGCTTATGTTAGATTAGAGGCAGGTACTGGCTACCAAAAAGCCGCTGTGAGTAGCACCAGAGAAAGGGCCATGTGAGCAGCACAGCCCCCTTCCCAAAGCTGAGATCATGTCTAAATACATAAAACTGGAAAGAACCCAAACTCTGACAAACTAAGTCTTAAAAACGCCATAAGACCCTCATGCCTGAGGGATGTGCCGAGGCCAGGCTGGTCCCTGGGAACGGCAGGGGAGAGACGCGGCTCCAGTTTTGGGTGCCCGTGGGGAGGTCTGGGCTGAGCGGCGCTCGTGAGGCTGCTGGGGGCAATGGCTGGGCTGGGGCAGGTGGGAGCGGCGCTGCCCGGAGCGGCCCTGGCCACGGTGTCCCGGCTCCGAGAGGAGCTGGGGAACCAGCTGAACGGGAAAAGGCACAGGAAAGAGCAGGGAAGTGATTGCAGGTGGGGATGGCTCCCTGTGGGAAGCAAATCAGCTCTTCAGGCTGGACAGAGGAAGCTGACAGGTGTGATGGGGCCAGGTGAGCCCTTCATGGCCAGGTGGCATGGGAGCTTCGTGGTTGCCCCTGGGTGGCAGCTTAAAAACCCAGCAAACCTGCCATGACCAGCCCCAAAGCAGGCGGTGGAACACACAGACCTGATGGAGCACACGGACCCGGCTCTGCCCAGGGCGTGGGTGCCTGCCGGGCACTGGAGCCACCCTGGGTAAAAGGGTGACTGCAGCAAACAAATTGCTCCGCTGGAGAAGGTGACCCAGTTCTTGGTGACAGCCTGGGCCTGGGGCGGAGGTTGCTGCTGTCTCATTTAAAGGCATCAAGTGCTTCTGAGATGGCACTATGGCATGGTGGGGACAGCAGGGTGGCTTGGAGGCCATGTCACCTAGTGAGCAGAGAGCAGTGGGCTGGGAGCCAGGCACAGTGGCCGATGCCACCCCACACTGTGGTGGCGGGGGGAGCACGGCCTGGACAGTGCCACCCTGCAGGATGGTGGCTGGGAATGCAGAACGGCCATCGCAGGGGTGGGCAGGCAGTGCTGTGCCAGCCAGGTCACGGTCCTGCCATCGCATTTCCTCCCTGCAGTGTGTCCTCGTCCCAATACGCCTATGAGATCAGCGACCCTCTGGGGCGAGAGAGCTACAAGGAGATGTACCTCTTCATCTACAGGTGACGGGGGGACCAGCGGGACGTGGAGTGGGATGGGGGCCTGCATGTGGGTGCCGGTACGGCCCCATGTCACCTGCTGGGGCTTGGGGTGTCAAAGCCCCATGGCAGGATGGACCACAGCAGAGCTGAGTGCCCCGAGGGCAACGCTCACGGGCCATGCGGAGTCCTGGTGTCACTGTCCCCTTGGCCCCCAGGATGGAGGCTGTGTCTGTGTTGGACACCTACCAGTACAAGGACCACCAGGATGCCTTCAGCCGGGAGCCGTTCATCCTGAGAGTGTCATCGCCCCATACGAGTAAGTGCAGGGAAGAGCATGGGGACCCTTGGTGAGGACACCTGGCTGGGCCAGAAGAGGTCTGGTGATCCCGGACCAATGGCGTGGCAGGGGATGGGGACACCACCAGCTCATAGCTCTCTTCTTGACAGAGGCAGGAGAGTTTGTGCTGGTGCCGCTGCACTCGGCGCCACACGCTGCCGTGGCCGAGATCGACGCGCTCTATGACGTCTACCTGGCCATCGTCAACAAATGGGACACTGATGTGAGCAGGACAGGGTCACAGGGACATCTGGGCACAGTGGGTTGGGGGTGGCATTGAGGGACAGATGCAGACACTTCTCCAAGGTCCCTTTGCATCCAAACAAATCTCTGGCCAGGAGCATCACCTGCGCAAGCCAAGGCTGATGCAGACTGTGGTGGTGGCATCTCTGCGGCAACCTGCTGCATTCCAGTGCTGCATCTCTCTCCAGGGCAGAGTGTGAACTCAGAGATTGGGAGTCCCAAGGGGATAGCTGATATTGGGGTGCAGCATGTGCTGCTCCGGTCCCACCCTCTGCTTTGCCCTTTCTGCAGAACATCATGTTCCTGGGGGACTTCAACGCCGACTGCTCCTACGTAAGGCCTGAGGATTGGTCCTCCATCCGCCTGCGCACCAGCGATGTCTTCAAGTGGCTGCTCCCCGACAGTGCTGACACGACCGTGGGGAAGTCGGACTGTGCCTATGACAGGTGACTGTCCCCCCTCCTGCCTGCCCAGAGACGGGGGCAGAGCCCATGGGCGCCGCTCCGGTGGGGCCTGCTCTGAGGCAGCGCAGGGAGGGATGGAGCCGGGGCAAGAGCGGCACCCACCGACCTTGGCTTCCTTGCAGGATCGTGGTGTGCGGCGCTAAGCTGAAGAGAAGCGTCGTGCCCAACTCGGCCACTGTTTACAACTTCCAGCGCGCTTTCCAGCTGGAGCAGGAGGAGGTGAGATGGGCTGATAAGCAGAGACTTGGGCACAGAGCACAGACGAGCTGGCCCTGGGCAGCCAGGATGTGCAGACCAGTGTTCGTTATGGGGTTGGAGATGGTCCTGGGCCACAGCCACATAGCAACTGAGCTGGCCAACGTGCTCCCCCGAGGGCATATTGGCCTCATGTGCAGTGCCACACTCCCAAAAAGCCACCAGAGATGTGCACAGCCCCATGCAGCAGCACTTACCTCTCCTGAGATAGGGCAGGCAGCCCCCAAGCTGTTAACTGGGAGCTCTGGGTGCTGAAGGACCCATGGGTGGGAAAACAAGGAGTGATTTGGGGATATTGCCTGTCCCTGCAGCAGGGTTCTGCATTGGGGCCACGAGACTTGGGGCCAAGTCCTCTCACGGCCTGTCACAGGTAGGGGTAAGCATTTTAGGAGTAGGACTCTATGGCTTGGGGCAACTGGAGCAGATTTTCAATGCCCTCTAAAGCAACTTAGCACAGAGCTCCTGAGACAGCCCAGGCCTTAGAGAGCATTGCCTAGGCTACCCATGCACAGTGCAGACCATGTTTGGGCATCTCTCTGGGAAGAGGCAAAAGTGGAGTCTGGGGTTTGAGACATCAGGGAGGCAGAAGGCTCTTGCATGGAAGGCACCACCATCCTGCCTCCCCCATCAGCACCGCGAGGCGCTCGGGCCTTGCCACGCGCTCTCATCACACTAACCCACCTCTCCCCTCCTACAGGCCCTGGCAGTCAGCGACCATTTCCCAGTCGAAGTGAAGCTGGCGGCCTGAGCTCCTCCAGCTGATGCAGACACCATCCAGCTCCAGCTCCCAGAACTGGTTGCCATGAAGGGACCCACCGCAGCCCTGTCCGAGCCCTGCGCGTGGGCTGTCCCTGTGCCAGCCTGGAGAAGGGGCACAGCTGGTATCTGGCGAGGCCCCCAGCCTGTGCTGCTCCCTGCAGAGCACTCCCGACCCATTAGGAACCAGAGCCTGGGGACAGGCCGGCCGTCAGGGAGCCGCCGTGCCGCCAGGAAGCAGTGACTAGACACAGACTCGGAAACCAAGCGTCCATCTTCTGCCTCATCAAAAAATGGTTTTATTGACAAATCTCACTTTCACAATTAGGTGTTAGAAAGGAGGGAGACTATCCAAGACCTGCAGGCTCAGACCACAGTGGTATCAGATGCTCTCCCCTTTCTGTTCCTTGGGTGGGCTGAGCAGGCAGCTCTCCTGCTCTCAGGAAAGGCAGCAGCGGTGTCAGGCACTGTTTGGGTACTCATGGGAAGGGGTGATGAGGGCGGCCACAGGAGCAGGCACCACCTTGCCGGTTGCTGGCAGTACAGAGAGCTTCACTCTTAAGAGTCTACAGCTACTGCAGCACTTCCGTGGGTCACGCAAGCTCCTGGTACCAGGCCCCAGATGCCTGGCTCTTCAGCCTTTCCTCTTACTCAGCATCTCCATATACTTGCGGAGTGACTTCTGGATGGACTCTTTTGCAATAAAGCTAACGAAGTGCTGAACATCATCTTCCTGGTGAGTCACCAGCCGGTCCAGCACTGGCTTCCTCATCATAGACTTGGTAAGCTGGCGGGCATGGTCTGTGGAGAGAAGAGCAGGGATGGGCAACACGCATGGCCCACCAGCAGGGACCAGCTGCTGGCCACTGTCACCATATGCAAGTACCCCAGAAGGGGAGATACTGTACACTGAAGGGCTCTTTATACAAGCAAAAAAAAGCACAAGACAAACTCATTAACTGGAAGCTGAACTGGAAAAATTCTAATACAATAAATTATAATCTGTATCCGTCAATGGAAAAAATGATTGCTCTAGTAGGACAAATTAGGGTTGTGCACTCTCCATCTCTTTGTACCTTCCTGGACACACCTAGCCTGTATCCAAATACACCTTATCAGGCTCAGAACAGCAGTTCCTGAACAAAATACTCTATTATACAAAAGTGCTCTGGCTCTAAGATTCTCCCAACCCTTTTGACCTCTGGCAGGGCAGTCTGCTTGTCTAACATCCTCTACAATGTGAAGCAGCACTGTCCTCTCAAGCTCACCCCACCACTAGTTTCTGGGCTGCCCCTGCCCTCCACACTCCTAGCCAGTATAATTCAGCACCACTATGAGGATAGTGATAGAGCAGTGCTGGCTGCTTCGGCTGATGGAGGCTAGAGCACACATCTGTTCACAGCCATAGCAATGCACAATGCTGCAGATACAAATTTATTGCACTGATGTTGCATGTGTGCTCCCAGTGTGCTTCAGTGGTGAAGGTGAGACAACCTGACACACACACACACACACAGAACCCAGAATCCCTTCCTCTGAGCAGCACCTACTGCTCTAGATGGATCCACACAGAGATATACTTGCTGGCTCTGGCGTAGGACTCTGTGGACACTTCTGCATGACGCCTCGTGGAAGCCAGCAGAGAGCAGAACAGAGATATGCCCCCTTGTCTGGAACCAAGGATCAACTGTTTTTACTCTTATTACAAGGCAGTAGGGCCAGAGAGAGGTTTAGGGATCCTCTTCCAGTAGGGACACTAATGAACAGCCCCAAACCTGCCCATTTCTGCCCAATTTCACTCAGATTACTGTGAAAGGATCTGCCAAAGATGAATGTGTAGCTGGACTCCACTGCAGAGCTCTGTATGTGGCATGGGATGGGATAATTGAGATCCATCTGTGGTGTGTGGTGTGGAGAGCCCTCTCCCTCACGTGCTTCCTGTCACGGAGCAGTCCAAACAAGCACTTTAGGTTTGCATTTGCTGTCTGTCCCAATGCCTCATCCCCATCCTCAGCTCAGTGCCAAGGGCTGATCCCAACCACCCCCTTGAAACACCGTGCGACCAACCACCCAGGCACTCACACCCTGACCCTCCCTCACCATCGTGACATCTTTCCCCTCCTTCCAGAAAGACAGGATTAGATTATATGCTGGGTAACATCTCCACCAACGGACACGAAGATCCAGGCAGAGTTTTCACCTTGAATTTGTGCACCTCCAGATCACCTCAGCAGGGCTAGCAGAGTAAGCTGGACTGTAGCCATGCAGCTTGCACACCCAGCACACGCTGTCCTCCTGCTCAGGTCCATCAGTGAGCACATCTCTGTTAGCCTGCGGCTTCTTGGACTGCTCTGCAGAGATTTCCTACCTCCCAGACATTGACACATTCTGTTTAAATGGCAACTGTTATGTAGTGCCCAGGCACCAGTTTCAGTTCCTCTCCTCCCCACATAGATCAGACCCTTCCTTCCGTGTTGATCCCCGCTTCCAAAGGCAGCAGTCTGCGGCAGGAGGTGCCAGTCTTACCAGGCAGAGCCAGCCACTGTGCTAGAACGGCTGCAGCCTTCTCCTGGAGCTTCTCCTCGGGCACCAGCTCATCCACAATGCCAAGCTGGAGGGCCTCAGGTGCAGGGTGAAGGCTGCCCAGCTGAAGGGAGCGCTCAGCAACTCGGTGTCCCACAACATTCACAAACGTGTCCTTAAACCTAGAAGAGAAGGCAGAAAGAGACACAGTCAGGCAAAGTAACACCCAGCAGCAGCTGCACCCAGACATCAAAGCTAAGAGCACTGTTTACCCCAGAGCCTCTGCTTTGGTGCTCTGGTCACACTTCCCAGGCACGGGGCAAAGTCAGCAAAGCATTTTTTGCAAATTCTGGCAAGCAGAGCCATTTTTAGTGTGTTATCCTGACAGAGTCCCGGTGTCCTTTCAATGAGGGCTATTTTATATACTCTGACTGCACAGGTCCCAGCTGTGCCCACTGGCACAGCCAAGGTCACAGGGTCTGTATCTCAGTTTATTAACTGCTTCTGTGCTTTGAGAGGTCTTCTATACAGCTGTGGGATTTTGCAGGTACCACAGAAAATGGTATTTTCAGGCTGAGCTCAACCATGAAGGTCTTCCAGCATCAGTTTCTGCACAGGCTACAGAGTCAAAAACTGAGGTTATTGCTGGTAAAGGCTGCAAAACAAGATGTGAGATAATTCCACAACCCAAAAGGGTTTCAGACGTGTACAGGACAAGACAAACAAATGAGGTGCTGAGCTGGCTGTTGTCCTGTAGCTGAGATTGCCTGGTCACTCCATTAGGATGGTCACATATAACTACATTTCTGTGACCGATTAAAGCTTATTAATAAACTCCCTGAAGATGAACGTGGCATGTGAGCTTAGAAGTGAAAGACACTGGCCTACCAGAAGGGAGCCACAATGCCCAGCTGTGATTCGTTCAGGCCAATGTAGAATTTGGGGTTGTCAGCCATGATTCTGTAGTCACACGACAAGGCAAAGAGACAGCCTCCTGCTGGGCTGGATCCCTGCCAAAGGCAAAGAGTCCAGGTCAGTCCCCATTTTCTACAAACGTCCCTGGCATCCTATCCCAGTAGCCTTGTTGTATCCTCCAGAACAGGGAAGACATGGGATGATGGAGCTCCCAGGGGCAGTGCTGATATTCCCTGAGTCTCTGCTTATCTGATTTGAAAGATTCTAAGAAAGAGAAAACTAGCTACTAAATAAGATTTCTGATATATTTACCAGATTTTACCCTTTTTTGTTTTGTTTTTTTTTGCATTTTCCCAGACTGAAAATATGACTACTTGATTTGTTCCCATTGAGTTTTGTTCTCTGGCTGGGCTGAAAATCCCGCAAAGGAGATTTATTTAGGCATTTGCTTACGAGCTTTTAACCCAAAATGCCACAGAAGATTTGTTTAGGGGTCTGTAATACCTCCCACCTGTGAAACTTCACTTTTGGAGCATCTTTGCACTGGTTGGTCACGGACCCAACTGCCACTTCAACCATGCACTGCCAAAGCAGTATTGTATTGAAAACAAAATAAAACTCCATGTAATAGTTACACATCTACAGACCCCGAGACTCAAAGGGCATTCAAATGATTCCCTCCTGGCAAGAACTACAATTTGGAGGAACAAACCCAAGGACTTAGGAAATACTGCACTGCCCAGGTCTGATGTATCATTGACCAAAGGGCTGAGGACAAGTATTTGTGGCACTGCACATGCTGCTAATGACACCCGTGCAAGGCACAGAGCTTACACAGAGCCTGCAACACCCCTCATGCCAGGGCACCAACCCACCAGACAGGTATGCTGCCCTGCCATCCCAACACAGTATTTCACTCAGCACTGACAAGCCTGGTTTTCCAGCAGTCCCTGCACACACACAGCAAACAAGCCACAGCGAGAGTAAGGCCAGGGCAGCTAGGAAGGTGTCTCTGAGGAACTTGCATTGATTGCTGCAATTGTCACCATGTTGGAACCATAGAGCCTGAGCCACATCTGCTGCACAGCTCTCCAGAACTCAACATAATGCTCCGTGCTCTTCCCACACATATCAGTGATGTCCAGGCCAGACGAGAAGACCTTGGGGATGGCCTGGAATTAGGAAAATACAAACATCACTGAGAGTCACTGCTCAGTGACAATCCTTCAACCCTTTAAGCACTCACCCTGGAACCCCCAAGAAAGAGAAAGTTGACATAAATCAGTGTCTTCTGGAGTCAGGAAAGAATCTCCTCAGCATTCCCATGGACAGGATTCCCCAGTATTTGGAATATAATTTCTCATCATGAGATGCCTGAGGTGGATACCTTTGTTACACAGCACAAAACCTGTTGTGTCTCATCTCCAGCACCACCTTGTACACACATCATGCCTGGAAATGAGTGCTGGCTTCCCCTTGCCTCTCGCTCTGGGCAGTTCAAAAGATCTCAGGAGATTTGCCAAGTTTATAGATGGACAGATTTAATTTGAATAAGCAATGCTTTGTTATAGTTCTTGTGCTAGAAAAGGCCACAGAGGAAAGAGAACAGCCTTTGCAAGCCTCCCCCGGCCCTGTTACTGGAGCTCATTAGAGTTGTGTCCGGGCCTTCCTGAGCCTGTGACCAGAGATCCAGGAGCCTAACCACAAGCAAGGCAAGCCCATGCCGACCAAGCTTCCCTGCAGCTCGTGCTGCAATCCCAGGACAACACGTACGGATGTGAAGATCACGCCCCGGCAGCCCCGGTTGTTCTCCAGCTTCTCCAAGCTTATGCATAACTCGGTCAGGAAATCCAGGCTGAGGCTGTTGACAGGAGGGCTCTTAAACTTCACTGTGGCGACACCTGTGTCACAGCAAACATGAAGTCATCAGAAACCCCTCTCCACCACGACACGCACCACACGCACACCCATCTTACCCAAGAGAATTTCAGCTGCCTTCCTGTCTCTCCAACCACCCCAGATCACTTCTTTTTAGTCCTAGTGACCAAGCTGTTTTCCAAAGACACTCAGTGCTGGAGCAAATCAAGGTGCTACCTTGAACCAGATCTGCCCACAAACCGTGGCTCGCTTATTGTAGAACGATTGTCCACCACACAGTGTGGTGGCCAGGCTGGTTGTCCCAAAACCCAACCAACCTTAAGGTGGCAAGGCCTAGAGGTCCCTGTCTCACTGCAAACACCCCATGGCCATGCCTGGGGAACAACGCTCTGCTTTGGGAGTCTGCAGGCAGCGTGGCACCCTGCTCAGCTGCCACTGCCAGCTGGGGACAGTTCACCCAGGCTGGGGCCAGAGTGAGGACAGGCCCAGCAGCCAAAATGAATCCCCTGTGAAATGCTAGGAAGAGGCCCCTTTGATTGGTGGTCCCATGGTAGCTACTCCGAGGACAAACATCTGCATGGTACTGACATAGATGACCTTGCCATGAAGTAGGGACAGCAACAGCTCTCAAATACTGCAGGAGATGTCCTAAACAAGGACTGTTTTCCTTTCCATTGCATAACTCACAATAATTCTACCTCCCTTCAATAATATTTCATAAAAATATTTAGAAAGTTTTGGGGAAATGTAAAACAAATTACGGGCATTTTTCTGTAACCTCTAAGACTTTCAATAATCTATGAGATTCTGATAATTTTATCACTCCTAATCTGCCTTTTCAACCTGTTTACCTTCAGGCCTACTTGCCCTGCGTACCCTCAGCTGGTGTTTGCATGCAGCACCCAGATGGCACCCAGCCATGTCCAGTGCCCACAGCTGCTCAGAGTCCCAACCCCAAATACTCCTCTCTGATGGTCCTAAGCAGCTGCATCTGGAACATCAGGGCTTTGGAGGCTTTCCGTGCCCAGGACCACACGTACCCTGATGTCTCAACCCGTGTTGTCGCAGGCATGCGAGGGCACACGGGGACATACACGTTCCTGGTCCAAGGTCCTCAGTCAAGCCTCGCAGCACGCCGTGGGGCAAGGGCAGTGCTGACAGAGGCAGCACCGGCCGTACCTGAGCCCTCGTCCAGCTCCACCAGGATCTTGTTGTTGCTGAAGGCTCGGCTCTGGGCGAGCAGGAGGCCGGGGCGCTGCCGGGCGCTTCTGCCCCACGCCTGGGCACGGCTGCAGAGGGGCTGCAGGCCTGGGGGGCAGAGGCAGGTGGGGCCGGGCACTCGCAGCCCCTCGGCCCGCACGGTGTCCCAGGCGGTCCTGCATGGCCGTGGCAGGGCACGTGGGGACATCCAAACCATGGCGCAGGGACATGGCAGCCCCCCAGCCCATGGCACAGGGACATGGGGTCAGCCCCATCATGATGGGGGACAGAGGGATGTCCTGATGCAGGGAAAGGGGACATGGGAAGGCATGTCCCATGGGAGAGGGCACATGGGGACACCCTGGCCCATGGCAAGGGACACAGGGGAAAACTCTGCCTCATGCAGAGAGGCCATGGGGACAGCGTGACCCGCAGCAGGGGGACAGAGAGGACAACCCTGCCCCACAGTGGGGGGACGTAATGGGGCATGGGGACGCTGTGATCCACAGCAGAGGGATATGAGTGGCTACAGGGACACCCAGACCCACAGCAGGGACACACAGGGGACAACCCTGCCTCATGGTGCGGAGACACGAGGGCCCATGGGGACACCCTGACCCACGGCGGGGGGGACGCGGAGGACAAACCTGCCCCACGGTGTGGGACGGGAGGCAGTGGGACGCATGGCACCCCGGGGCGCAGGGCGGGGACAGGGGCACGAGGGGGGTCACCCCACGGCGCGGGGAACCCCGTCGGTGGGACGGGCGCGGGGCCGACCTGGAGGGACGATCCGGCGAGCGAGGCTCAGCGCCGCCGCCATCTTCTCTTGTTACGGTGTAAAGTAAAGGTAGCGAATGTTGTCCTAATGTTCAGGTGCAGAAAATTTAGAAACCACTTCAGATGATAGATCTTTCCATCTGTGCTCTGAAGCTGTTCTTGAAACAGCTTTGGCTCACATACCTTTTCAAGCTGAATCCAGTATAATACTCAGCTGTCTTAGATATACAGGAATCTCTCTCTTCATTGGGATCCAAATGCATTCTGATATCTCTTAATTATATATTTTGTTAGCATAATGTGGGAACTCTGAAAATACTACATCCAAAGCTATAGATGATTAATATTTACTCTCCATTTATTATTTCCTCCCAATCTACATGTGTGTTTCATGTAAGTCATTGCACTGAACGAAATGCTGTATATTTTTGGGCGCTCTGAGAAGATATAGCAGATCTTTTCTGTGCTGTAGAGTAAGGGAGCACTTCCTCAGTCTGATTACAGTTGAGCACTATTCACATTACTGGCTTTTGGGGCAGTTGTTGAACTTGCAGAACATGGGTTCTCAGGGCAGCTGCAGTCTCCTAGAAATTCACTTTGGTGAACCACTAGAGTCCATTAGTATCAAGTTGCGTCTAGCTGCACTCCCAAGTAAGAAAGCCCTGAGCTTTTGTCATGACTAGTGAAGCCTCTGATTAATGCACGATTTCTTACACACGGCAACACTGAGGAGCTGCAATTATCAAGACGTCAATAAGTTTCTGGAGCCTGGCTCCTAGTCATACCCACATAACCAGCATGGGCCATTCTCCCTGCTGCCAGCTCTCCGCATCAAACACACCCAGACAGCCCTAGTCAGATGCCACTGCTTTCAAATGCTGGTTCATCTGTGTATATGTCTCTCAGGCACCTTAATAAAGCAGCTGGGAGAATGACTTGACTTCTTGACTTAAAACAGCCTTCCTTCGGTTACAGAAACATTTTGGTGTACTTAAGCATCATACTTGAATTACTTGTAGCTTGATCAAATAACAGAGAGTCATGAAGTAACAGGTGGAGGTGGTGTTGAGGCTTTCACTTCCTGATGTTTACAAACTCAGGAATCAGGTAGTTAAATCCCCAGGTGCTAGGAATGCCTAATTGTTAAGACATGCTGTTACACCAGGTCTGTCTTCTCTACAGTATTTGTAACTTCTTTAGCACAAACTATGGTTGGCTTCCTTCTACATGAGGATTTAAGTGATAGATTTGGGTCATCATATTCTTCATCCAGTAATTAACATCTATATTCCATGTCCCCTGTGCACTTTGCTGAGAGAGATAGTTTGAAAAATCTCTGTAGATCAGTAGAAATGCTGCATTAGATACAGGAACCTCCGAGCTGATCATTCCTGATATTCCAGTAGAAATGTTGAAAGTACCATGTCCAGTCTGAATGGTAGGAGCTGAGGTGGATGCCTCAGTGAGTAAACGTTTGACCTGCAGGTACCTGAAAAACAGCCTTTCCACAGCTCCCAAGTCCTCCAATCTTATACTACTTAATTACACCATGAATTTAAATGTGCTTTTAAGGGAGAGGGACCTGTACTAGCACACATCTAGAGATGCTCCCCAGTGAGGCCAGGAGCAGCCAGGAGCAGCTGCCGGCTCTGGAGCAGCCAGGAACAAGTATGTCCGGGGTTTTCCTTGTGCTCAGCACGCGGAGGGGCTGGAAGACACAGCATGGCCTTTAGTTCGATCATAAAAGGGGGGAATTGCTTACCAATCCTGCAGGAACACATTGCAGACCTTGTGCAGCCTGTGCCAGAGCACCAGGCGCGTCAGTCCTTGCAGCCCAACTGGGGCCCTGTGTTCTGTGGCACAAATACACAGCCTCCTCCAGCACAGCCAGCTGCGAGTGCCAGGCTCTAGGCCGCGGCCCTCAGCGTCGCGGATGAGGATGAGGATGCAGGGAGGCCGGGAAGCAAACCTCACGCGTGCCCGCTGGGTCAGCCCGTGCCCACGCTGCCTCCCTTCCTCTGCAGTTTGTGGCGTGGGCTCCGTGCTGCTCTTCCCCAACAGCTCCGTGCAGAACGTGGCCGTCATCGGCGCGGGGCTGCGCGTGGGGCTGCGGGCGCTGTCGCTGTGCACCTGGGTGAGCACCCCAGCCCCCTACCTTGGCACCCTGCTCTCCTATGCCACCGAGGACAACGACAACAAGCTGGTGGTGCACGGCTGGGACAGGGGCCTGCCCGGCTCCATGCACTTCGTCATTGGTGACCCGGAGTTTCGGGAGCTGCCGGTGACACAGCTGCTGGACGGCAAGTGGCACCACCTCTGCCTCACCTGGTCGTCCGAGCAGGGCAAGTTCCGCTTCTACGTGGACAGGAGGCTGCTGGCTGGCGGCCCCCGCGTC